TACTTCCAGTCCAAAAAAAAAAAAGCCTGTCTCGTGATCAACTAAAGTGTGTGCCCCAGAAAACACAATGCACTTCACTGCAGCACAGTGATGACGTGCGGGCAGCACATTGCATGTCTCTCGAAACGTCAGCGCATCGTGATTTACCCATTCTTTCTGAGATGTTAAAGTAATTAATAAAAAAACAGTTTGGCATAATTGATCATGTATTCCAAACTCCGATTTCCGTTTGCTCCAGCAACTTGCGCACTAGCTCTGCTGGCGGAGTTCTTGCCTGCAACGCCTACTTCGAAAACCAAGTTCGAAAGCTTCAATGATAACGTTTTCCAGCCAAAATACATCGCGAATGTCATCACACTGGCCATTATTGCCTATTTTATTTTATCAGAAAGAATGAGCGAATGGCCGCATGATGACGTGCTGAGGTAGCGAGATGCTGACGACATGCTGCCAGCGTATCACTACTACATTGCAGCGAAGATGTCTTGCTTTCCGCAGGGGCGCATTTCAATTCATCAGAACAGCGTTCCCTTCTTTTTTCTCCCAATGGTAGCCACGAGGCCCGCCGATCTCTCGTGTTTGCGACAACATTTAGAGCAGGTATTGCTGGAAAATATAACAGAGTCGCAAACTAGCCTGCAGAGCAAAAAACCAGCCCTGATTACTCAGAATAATTCCAAGTTCCTTGCATCCAACTTTCTTGAACGTTCTGTAAATTCGAAGACTTACTAAATTCGAAAATTTTTTGCGGCCCCAGTGACTTCAAATAAAGAGGTTTTACTGTACTTCATGAACTTTATGTTGACTGTTAAATAATAGGATGTCATTATAAAGAAGTTTGCGCTTCTAATTGTTTTCAAATCTCTAAGAACAGCCACAAGGGGGACGCAAGATGCTCTTGGAATGTTTGTTGTTTACCTTGGCCGACCTACGTCAGGCATCGTTCTGCATTTCTTCCACGTGTCAACGCTGTAACGTGTGTGTTCTTAGGCCACCTGGATCTGAATATATATTCAGACCAGCATCGCCAAGTGCAGAACTCGGAAGACAAGGAAGCGCAAGTTTGGTGAAAATCGCTACACGACGACGAGGCTGCCTCCTGACACGGGCGCAAGTGTGTCGGTGACCGGGAGAAAGCTTGGGGACATTACGAAAACGTATGAGGCTCCGCTGAAGAATGCTTCGCTTTAAGAAAACAGGCTTGTGGACATTGACATTCTTTCTTCGGTGTTTTTATCACTAGTGGCATGCCCTGGATGCATGAACCCAATGCTGAAGCTCAGGGAACGCTCTCACCAAGGGATATACTCAACCTGTGTGGTCGTGTGTACCGACTGTAGGTTCGAGCGTCCATTTGATAAGTCTAAAAAGGTAGTATATGCTAATGAAAATAATGTTCTTCTCGTTTACGCGAGGCGCCAGTTAGGAAAAGGGCACGCAAGTTCGGAAACGTTTGCCAAAGTCATGAAAATGCCCGCTCCACATCGCTCCACCTATGAAAAATTATCTTCTCGGCTTTCCGCAGTGGCAGGAGAAGTGGCGTCGAAATCTATAGTCGATGCTGCTGTGGAACTTAGTTGTGTTGTGGGCAGTGCAGAGTGTGGTGTTTCAGGTGATAGCACATGGCGGAAGCGTGACCATTCATCTTTGAACGAATGTGAGTCTGTGATTTCTATTGACACGGGAAAAGTCATAGATGTTGAGGCCCTTTTCAGATCCTGTAAATCTTGTAAAACTAAATGCAAGTTGAGGCCACAAAGTGCTTCTTATCAGGAATGAAAGGCAAACCACACATCCTGTCAAGCAAACCATGAAGGAAGTGCTGGCAGTATGGAGACGGTTGGTCTGTACCGAATATTTGAGAGGTCGCACTCCCGAGACCACGCACTGCTTTCTTTGAGGTTCTCCGAGGTGGCAGCCAACACGCTTCTGAACATGCCCAATGCATTCCAGCTGCTGGACACTGTCCTTTTTATACATGTATTTCACAGCGGCCTAGCTCTTGGCATCATCATCACCGTAAAATTTCAGGTACTTAAAGCCTCTTTTTGGCTGCGACCTCTGAAATATTCGGTACAGACCAACCGTCTCCATACTGACAGCACTTCCTTCATGGTTTGCTTGACAGGATGTGTGATTTGCCTTTCATTCCGGATAAGAAGCACTTTGTGGCCTCAACTTCCGTTTAGTTTTACAAGATTTACAGGATTTACAGATTTACAAGATTTACAACTTTTTATGGTGTTTGTCCACCACTTCAGATTTTAAGTACAAATATTTGATTTGATTCAAGCTCACTGATACCCCATTGACCGCCTGCAAAACTACTATGGCATTGCCATAACGGCTAATGTGGGCAACCTTTCTGCAATGAAGCAGGCTACCCTTGCCAGTCTTTTTCATTGTAGCTCTGCCGACAAGCATCAGAGACATGGTCTGTGCCCAATTGGACCGAACAGCTGGTGTGTGTACAAAAGAGTCGAAGCACTTGGCCAAGGAAAGTATGTGCACAAAGGAGAATGTCCAAATAATGCGCTCTGTAGAAGGTTAAAACTGTGTACAGCAATTTGCACTCGGATGAACTTCTGATGAAATGTTTGCATGCAAAGACACAAAATTTAAATGAGTGCTTCAATGGTCTGATATGGCAGCACGCTCCCAAAGAGGTCTACGTAAACTTGCCTACAGTAATGTTTGCCTTACATGATGCTGTGGCACACTTCAATAATGGCAGTGTAAGCACCCTAGACACCCTGAGGCAAGCTGGCATAGAACCAGGGTACTACACGGCGAAAGCTTGCATTGCCAGAGATCACAAGTGCATGCAGAATGCCAAATGCAAGTCAGCAGATGGAACAAAACAGGCCAGAAAGAAAAGAAGAGCAGTCACACAAAGAAAAGGAGACCATAATGCTATTCAAGAAGGACCCACATATGAATCAGGTGCATTTTAGGACTCTGTACAAAGTTTCTGAGACCTTATGCCCGCTCTGAAATCTTTGTTTACGTTTTCCTCAAAATAAGAATTTGCTTTGAATAATGTGACGCCAACTTTCATAACTTTTTTTTCTCAGTGCAAGCTTTGAACTAAAATTTAGTACAATGTTTCACCACCTATATATCTGTGCAGTGAACTAGAATAAAAGAAATTGATCGATTAGTTTTGAATTCACAGCTAATTTTCCAAACAAGTTAAGTCTAAACTGGCACTTTTTCAGCGTCTTCCAGAGTTTTTTAACACTATTTCCTTGATATTTAATGTATATTATTTATCATAGTTCACTGCATAGCTCAAATCTTTGATTACAGAAATTCCAAAGCCTTATTGAATTCAGGCACGTGTCAGTCACTTATCACAGCTGGCGTAACTACCATTTTTTATTACATTTTTAGAAATATGCTCTCCCCCAAAATAAATAACCAATATTTTGCACTCTAAATGACTAGGCAAAGTAACTGAGAGACGCTTGTTCCAAAAAAGCAGTTATTTTGTTCCTGGCTCTTCCGGTTGAAAAAAATTCTTTGCGGGTGACCTACCACTCAAACGAAACATGCTACCACAAGTCCAGTTGGACTATTGTGCTCAGTATGAGCTACACCACGGGAGCATATGGTCCCGTGGTGTATGGTCCAATGTAAGGTTGTATAGCCGCACCAATCATGAAATGTTTTGTGTTATTAGGGGAGGGTTCGGCATTACCTGTGAGTGAGCTTTGCCCCACTTCCTTTCACGCTCGCGCTAGTTTTGCGCTGTCGTTATATCAGCTTCCAAAATGATACCTTCGAGGGTGACAGCAAGTAAGTGGGGGGGATGCACACCCGCAGGAATAGCCAGACTCTCTCCCAATAACTTGAAAATATGCGACAATTGGCGCCACTGTACAACCTTGCCATGCGCTCACATGGTGCAGTTCATACTGATAGTACATACGATGTGGTGTTCACTGAAAGAGAGAATTAAGTGCAAGAGTTTTTAAAAGATGCAAACATAATTAAACTGATCAAATAATCAACTGCATTAAATTGCTAAACAGCCTAAATATCTAAATGCAACAATGAAATGGAAGCTACATGCCCAATGCACCTGCTTATGAACTGTTGGTCCGGCATAACAACTGCTCTTATTCAGCACGACTATATCATGGAACATTTATTACATCTGCCATTCTGCTTTTCTCAGGACTCCAATGAGTGTTATCTCTTATGCACATTCAAAAAAGACGTGTCGGGAACTTCAACTTCTGGATTCTTGAACCGAACATGAACCAAATGGCCCACATTATTTATTTGTACTTAAAATCTGAAGTGTTGGACAAACATTATAAAAAGTTTAATTGTGGGTTTTAATGTCCAAAAACTGTACAGTAGGCAAAAAGAAACACCATTGTGTAGTGTTCCGGATTATTTTTATTCATTGGCAGTTCTTTCAGATGCACTAAAAACATGATACACAAGTATTTTAGCATTTATCACTACTCAGTTGATGTCACTGTAGACGGGAATCAAATCCAGACAACCTCCAATAACTGCCAACGAAGTTATGAGTTGCATTAAATTCAGGATCACAAAAATCACTGAAGTCTGTTGATTTTTGCTTCCTACTTTCAAAAGACCTTGTAGATCAATAGCAAATACAAGAATTGGCACAATACTTATATATTGCAATAATAGTTCAACACAGCCTAAAGGGCACCTTCATATAAAAAGGCTTAATCAAGCAAACATTGCGCACAAACTGAACAAATACAATTCAGTTATTGAGAAGTATAGATATTTCAAATAATAATAAAATATTTTTATGAGTTGTGACACATGAACTAATATATTTCTAGTAAATATGATAAATTGACTGTTGCACAACCCTTTCTACCCACGTCTTTGACAGATAAGAAACCATATGCAACACCCAGTTGCAAAATTCTTTTCAAGAGAACTCTGCAACTGGTAGTTAACCAAGACAGTGTAGTTGTATAGCAATATTATTTAAAACCAATCCTTACTTGTCTCTTCCAGGTCGAATCACCACTTCATAGAGCCCATACACTGGTCGATGATCAGAGGTTTGCATTAAAGGAATTGAGTCATAGAGAATACACTCTATATGGCCTTTTCTCTTGCTTCTATAAAGTATTCGATCCTAAATGAAAATAGGTTTCAGTGAAAAATTAGCCTGACAATACCAATGTCATGAATTGAAAAGTGCAAAGAGAGGCTGTTACCGTGTACGATGGCACTCTATGCTTAACATCATCAAACTGACTTGAGCCAACTTCGAATTTGTAAGTCGGTCCAAATTTTATCTTTCCTTCTTGAAAGCCAAAAAATGCCTGACCTGATGAGCAGAGAAGACAGAGATGCTGCAAGCAACACTAGTGAATGGAAAACATATACAGGGAACTAGGCAGTACTCTTCTAATTCAAACAGATTTTTATAACTCGCTAAGAGAAGATGGTGCTCTTTTACGAGAGATTCTTAACATCGCAAATCACTGTGCAGATAGCAAACCAAATACAGCCTCATCTAACGTCATCTTTCTTATTAGGCACATGACAATTGCAAAACTGAAGCTCAGCAGTTGTGTAGTAGTGTCTGTTTAACAAAAATCCAAAGGCTACCACCACTTTTTAGATATCTCTATTTAAGATCTCTGATAAAGAATTAATGCACCAGCATTTCAATTAAGATCATTCCAGAAGGGTTGAGAGGTGGTACAGTTGGTATAGATTCACACTGAAATATTGGGAGCACAAACCAACAGGATGCAAAGGAGGAGACAAACAAGCGGATAAAACAAATGACTTGTTTGTCTCCTCCTTTGTGTACCGTTAGTTTGCCCTGCCAATATTTCAGTATGAAAGGTCATTCCTAGCGGTTATAGGAAAGCTTTCAAGAGACTTGTCTGGAATACCAGGGCATTTTGTAGCATATCTGGAAACATTGCTAACCTCAATTTTCTGCTGAGAATGAATGACACTACTTTTACTACTCTGGTTCAATTTTGCTATTTTAAATTTAATAATAAAGTAAATTAGTCAGATTGGAGAAAATTGAAAATTAGCTACTTTGGTGTTGTGACTTATAAAAGCATTTTTTTTTTAAGGAAGCCTCAGCTTTAAGTGACACTACTACAAGTTTTCACTATACAGTGGGGAAAGCAATGTTGTGACTTATGAAGGCAACTTTTTTTTAAAGGAAGCCTCAGCTTTAAAATACACTACTGAAAGTTTTCACTATACAGTGGGGAAGGCAATGTCTTGGGAATGTTTCAACGAAATCATTTCCAACAGGTTCATTATTAGAAAGTTTGTAAGCAATTTAACTGCTTTGTTACTATTTTACCAGGAGGCAAGCTTCACCACTAATGCAATTACCCCCTTTGCCTCAGCCATTCTTTGCAAGCAGAGCTCCTTCACCCATGTGAAACGTGGTGTAGGGGCCACACCATGTTCACATGAATAGCTCCACCCCCCTTTCGCCTTCTCTACCTAATTTTGCTTCATGGCACACATCTAGAGACAGTGTATTAGATGATAATTAAATGTCACATGCCACAGAAAGTGATACTACAAGCAGTGTGCGAGAGGCATTTGTGTGCATGACCTTGACTCTAGCTCCATGTGCAGCTTCCATGAGAGAAAAAGCTTACGTAGTTTCAAGTTTCGGCCGCTTTCACACCATGTTACAGTCAGTTTTATGCTTTGCAAGCACTATTGCACCCACACAATTTACATATCACCCTGTTTCACTTTAAATGCACAAACCTAACTAAAGAGCGTTCTTTAAAAATTTCAAAAAAAAAAGGGGAAGGTGGTATACAAAAGATGCAAATATACAAACCATCCAGCATAGCACTTCTCAGCTGATCGAATTTCAGGAGGTTCTCATACGTAAGTTCTTTATTCTCATGGTGATCCTTCAGTAAACCGACGACAGTGGAACGATCATTCATGAGTCGAAAATTCAGATCGCCACACCAAAATACATGGTCAAATCTTGCTGTCACATCTGCAATGAATCAAATGCACATTCACAAACCTTCTAAAAAAAAAAACACCAGGCTTGTGCAAAACGTGCAGCACAGTCACAGCAAAAGCTGGAAGAGCGGCCTTTCTAGAGCCTTTTTTGAACACTCTTGTAGAGACTACTACAGGTACACTTGCATGATACCCACTACACAGTAAATCACCATAATATTTGTAAAGTAGAAAAGTGTGCACTATTTCATTAGTATTTGTCTTTCTTCAGAGGAGCGAGGTACCCGCTATGCACCAGTAAGGCATTATGTGTAATTTACTGATGCTGTAGCTAACGACGACAAACAATTATGACTGACCCTTTCGTAGTGGCCTGCAACCACTCAATATACCGAATCGTTAAGAAATTCGCATCGCGTGATGCTAGGTTGCTTTGTTACTCTTCTGAAATGCTCTTTTAACATGATTCCTGAACTGACAAGAAGCGTGCATAAGGCAAGTCTGCAGCAGAATTTCGAGCACCGGAGTAGCTCTGTGGTAGAGCACTGGGCTGCCACAGACAAGACCTGGAGCCCCGTTTACATGAGATTTTTTTCATTTTGTTTTCTTTTTTCCTACTTGATGCGATATTGGTTGCAAACACTGTCGGCGGACAAGTACGGCGCCGGAGACGGTTTTATTTTTGTGATATCACAGCAGCTTTCAAAGTAAAAATAGTAACTTACTAAGAAATTAAAGATAGGAGAATGTGAGCACATCAGGGATAGTAACAGCTCGTTTTTACAAATAGACCTCATAATAATGTCTAGTTTCCATTATCATTTTTTGCCCTTAATGTACTGTAAGAGCATGAAAACAGTAAACAGAGCAAAAAATAACCGAGGTTGTTCATTCTAAAAGACAGGGTGTGCAACTATAGACACACAAAAGAAGTCATGACATCACAAGATGGCCTGGGCTGTCTTTTAGAATAAATATTCACCAATTAGCTCTGCTCTCTGTTATTCTCAGGTGACATTGGTTTGTCAATACTGGCTTGACATTTGTTTATGAAGCATGTTATGGGCACGAAAGTGGTAATTAAAACAAGAGATAAGGATAACGTTGGTCTGTGAATATACGATATGCAGTTGTTTCCTTTTGTAGGAAAACATATTGATCTACAACTATGAAAAGAAGATCTACATTGTAAAACCAGAATTACCTACCGAGCATTTATACTTGTGTGATTTCTTCATTACCCATAGTATCAAAAATGGTAACTAAAAGCTCTTGCAAAGGGCCAGTAAGCATCAAGAAAGAATTGGCATGTTTATGCTCATATGTTGTATGTTATTACTCAATTTTTACAACAAAAAACCACAGGGCAAGCATGAAGTGTTCAGGGTCGGTTATTGCAAGGTATAGTGTCTTGTTTAAAAAAAATGCCTCAGTAGAATGGTCTTCACAAGCAATCCCATTTTAAAGAAGTTTGTGATGTAATGCGCTGCTTTCTTTTGTTGTTTTTTTTTTTCATGCATGCTGGCAACATTCAGAAATGCGAATACTGCTGCAGTCAAGCAACTGAATTGTATCTAAGCCTTGAAGTGTGTTTCAGCTAACTTGAACAAAGCACTTATAAAAGCAAACAAGTGTACAGTACTGCTTTCTATATTTTGGCATAAACTTTTTTGTTAAAGGTACTTCAATAATTGATAAAGATTAATTACAGTAGATGGTCTTTAAACCAAAACTGAAAGAACCAGGAAAATATATTTCATTTACCAGGAGTTTCATTTACTGAGAGATGAACAGGGGTGCACAATACAACTATTAAATCAATCATATCAAAGGCACTCCTTCCGTTTAAGCAGCAGTTCCATTTAGCAGATTTTCCTTTACTGAGATTCTACTGTGGTTAACATTTAGAAAACATTTACTGGTATATGAGGATATTGCTTTGTCAAACAGAAATAGAGATGCCTTTCTTTTTTTCTCCCTTAATTTCACCTATTTTAGCCTATGGGAAACGTGCATACAGAACGATCACAAGTGGCATAACAGTTCACTGCACCGCCAGCGCCACGTGCCGCCACTTTAGTTTCAACTGACATGTTACAAATATTCATCTCTCTGTCTGCTACGCCCACATTATACGCAAGTGTGTGTGCGAAGACGACATATTTGATAAAACGGGTAGGCCTTCAGAAAGTCAGCAGTGCAGGATTCCTTTAGGGCCTCAAACGAAAAGAATGGAATCAGTTATGCTTTGAATGTGACAGAAAGCACAGACGTGTGGCAGAGTATTCTGAAAGGGCGATCGACCGGCCAGCGTAAACCACAAAGCATAGGCTGTCGACATCGATGTTTGTATGCCTTCTTTCTTGTCATTTTGCCTGACGGCGTTTGTCTGACACCTGTTAAACAACCCCTTGCATTGGCAATGGATGCCAGTAAAACGTACAATCTCCGGACTGTAAATGTTGTATTTAGTAATGTGTAGCAGTTCCACGAAGCTTTCTGCACTGTAGTTTAGCTCCATTTATGAACGTTGCTTGCACTGCGCAAGTCTTTGAGTAACTTTGTCACATGCCAACCTTGCACATAATATCTTTGCTGTCACTAAATGCAATAAAATGGTGTGGTGCAGCGTCGCTTGCATGCACAGTGCTGTTAAGGGCAATGGCAATACAAGGGGAATAAAATTCTGGTGATCCACAACACATTTTTCCAGGCATGCGGAGCTTCTTCTTTAGTGCTTCTGTTTACGAACTGCGGTACAGTAGAAAAACAGCCGCAGCCCCCTAGGGACTGGATCTATCGATGGTTTTCCACCAAAAAAATGTTGACTGCATACTCGAGATCACTTTGCTGACTGCCGCTCACTTCCATCAGCACTGTAAAAATATCAATTAACTTGCGTGGAGTGTAAATTCACACCAAAAAGCTACAGCACAAACTTCATTAAAGTGCCCACATGATTACTTGCCTTGATCGATTGATATGTGGGGTTTAACATCCCAAAATCACCATATGATTATGAGAGACGCCGTAGTGGAGGGCTCCGAAACTTTCGACCACCTGGGGTTCTTTGACGTGCACTCAAATCTGAGCACACTGGCCTACAACATTTCCGCCTTCATCGGAAATGCAGCCGCCACAGCCGGGATTCGATCCCGCGACCTGCGGGTCAGCAGCCGAGTACCTTAGCCACTAGACCACCGCGGCGGGGCATGATCACTTGCTTTATGCGGCATACACTAGTCCAGCATTTCAGACAATTTTTGAAGCAGAAAACTGAAATCTTTGTTCCAGGTGCGTAGTTCTTAAGTTATGGCACAGTTCACGACTCAGCAATTCATACGCGACAATGCGAAGCAACCTGACATGGCTCTACTGTTGGGACAGCTGCTGCACAAAGTATGCCAGTTCCTTCATTCACTTATGCACCGCGTTGCCACAGGCTCAGTGCTTGTTTCCTATAGCTGCAAGTGAGAATAAAATGAAAATAAGCATTCTTTCGAGCGATATATTTTAATGTAAAAGCTGGGAAAGCAATCAAAATATGCCTGTATTGCCAGTGCAGAAAACAAAAACACTGAAAGTAAAACGCTAGTACATGCTACAACGCTGTTTATTTTTAAATGCTTAGTATGGCAGAGAAAAAAAAGTTATTAAAACAAGGCTGTTTGGTCACTTCGAGTGGAGCTCCACTTCCAGGACCTCACTAGCTATTGTGGCTTGCCAGGGCTGGTCAGTAGTCGCCAATCCACCTTTTTCATTTTCTTGTGCTGCCTGCTGCCATTTTGGTAGCATAGCTGATGTATATCTTACTTCTTGATGCTGCCAGCTGCCTTCACAGTTTATGCATATACTATGTCGCACACAATGTGTTCAATAGTTGTGGGAAGCGAAGCAAGTGTTCAAGGTAGCCAATAAAATTTATCCGAGATAAATCTGTACATCTCTCAAGCCTGTCGTTCTGCATATAGGTGAGGAGTGGGCAGGGGAATACACATAGCTAATTTCATTCAGGTCCAATCACCTCAGGACATTGCCAGAGTTGACCTTTAAGTTATCATCTACAGATTCACATGAGATAGACCAACCTTTGCTTTGGTACTGAAGCTTGAGTTGTGCTTGTTTTGGTAAGTCAATCTGATGACAGATCCTTTCATAATCTTGGATACGCTCCTTAACTCTTTTTTCATGAGCTAGAAAAAGAAGGAATAAAAGCACCAACAAAGTTGAATGCAATATGACAAGACTTTAAAACAGCGAAAACATGAACATTTCTTTCAGTGTCTTTTTGGCACTGACATGTGGCCATTGGCCAGTATAAGGCATCACTTCTCTAGCACGCTATGAATTATTGATTGTGACCCATATTAATAAGACAAGTCACTAGTGGCTATCTTAGCCTTAATGCAGCTTGGGAATAAGTGGTATTCTTGATGTGGCTGAAAAATCAGTTCCTCCTAAAGAGGTCTATTCATGATACTTAAAGGAATTCTGCAAAACAAATATCACATGTTTTCATTGTATGTTTGCTAACATACATGGGACTTGACAGCAGCACCAGAGAAAGTGACGTGTTTGATACTTTAATTTGGTCCTTAAGTCAGCTCGCACACCAACTGCCGCAACGTATATCAACAATACCTGGGAGTCAATTTAAAAGCCTTCAAGAAGCACTGACATCAAATTTACTCATGCCAGAATTTTTGCGTCAGCGAGTAGCTATAGACGCCGTAGCAGCGATTCACGACCTAAAACGCAACTTAGGAATGAATAACTATCACTTTTATTGATTTATATTACTGGTATCTAGCACTATTCAAAACAGACGACAATCCCGCCATTTTCAACGCTGGAAGCATCAGCAGAAGCGCTACCTCGCGGTTACCTCCAGATCATGCCACAGCTGACCACTTCTCCACAGAAAAGAGTGACGCCAAGCTCAGCTGCTCTGCAAACATTTCGTCTGCTAGACGGACATATTCAGTGATGTCTTGTCACCTGAATTGCTGTCGTCGCCGTACAAAGTGTCGACTCGGGCTCAACACGATAGTCTGGAGCTTGGAATCCCCGTGATTTCGCGACGTCGCGAATTATTTTTGCTTTGATCGATCTTTTGTAGAACAGTGATTCTGAAATGGACGCTGTTCCAAGCAGCACTGCAGATGTGACCGAGGATGCACGCTTCAGCCATGTTCGCTCGCGTTTCAGTTAGCTATATTGGCGTTGTGACAGGCACCCGAGCTGACGAGGGAGCGGCGCTGTTTGAATCTTCAAACAGTTTGCCGACCGGCCGGCTGCCTATGACCGCCAGGCATTGTCCCTCCTAGCTGGAGGGTGAGACGTCGTGTCACCCCGACGCCGTAAGCCGTTTGGGAGACGACAAATGGGGCAGCTTCCTTGAAAGATGCTGTGGCGGCAGCCGGAAATCGCCCTGCTAATTGAGCGAACAGATCGTCGGACCCTTTGATGTGTGCTGTCATGAGCTTGGAACCCCTCGACCAGCGGCGCACACATGACGAGCATTAGCCCCGCTGGCGCCACCTTGGACTGCAGACTCACGCCTCAATATTGGACGTTCACGTGGGCCGTGCATACTCGTCCCCCTCGCCAGTAGTGTGTGATCTGTGATTGGACAGCACCATGTAGAGGAAGGCCAGATTCGAAAGCTCGCCATGAAGAAAGAGCTTGTCATGTACGAGAGCTCACCCTGTATATAATGTAAATAAACCCTCCTCAAGTCTCTCTTTCTCCTGCCTCGACAACTTCCTCCTGGACCTCCGGTGCCTGCAAACCCCGGTCGCAACAGCGTGCAAAGCATTCAGGTATACACAGAGGGGTCAATGCAATATAGCTATAGCGAATGAGCATCAGCGGAGAAATAGAATACGTTTCCTGCTTGCCAGGTTCTTTTTTGCACCTCCAGATGGCCCCACCTATCCAGCCTCTCGCGGTTAACACGGTATTAGCACTTTTACGTGGACGCAAAGTCTACAGATGAACTAAAATTCAACAATACCTGCATGTTACTTGTTAGTGATGATATCTGACTATACGCTTTTCCACTTTTGATAGCTTGTGGCCGTGTTGATGTGTAACACATACATGATATGAAAAGACACCCTCATTGCACTTTTTCCGTGCTTCTAACTAGACGACTGCAACTCACAACGATTCCCCAACTTGCTGACCGACAAGCACATATTTAATCATGCTCTTTTCTTTCGCCATTCTTCTAAAGGTGGTTTTTATCTTGATAATTTCACGAAATCATTCATACCACTGCGACGAAGATCAGACGCGATGAGCGAGTGCGTTTCTGCGCTTCAGCGCCACGATAAAAACACTCGGATTGTACACGTCATCACTACTGGGGCATCGTCACTCGGGATGATATTTGTGGAATGTATCACACCGAGCACGTAGCACTAGTGTCGATGTCGCAGGGCAGACTATTTTCCATTTCTTCTCCTTAGCTTTTCTACGCTAAAAAAGTTCCACGCAACGGGTGCCATTCAAACTTTGCCAAGAAGACCTATGCATACAGAGCGATCGAATGATAGGCACATCTCGATCTTGAAATGTAATATCAGTGCTCCTTTAAGCTTCATGTGCTGATTGGTTTGAAATAAAAATACATTTTGATGCTTACAATGTGCTTACTAAGACGACTTCAAAAATAGAAATATATTTTATGCTTGTTAGAGCTATGAAAGAGACAAATATGTGCATTTCAATTTCATTTTGTGAGCAACTTAGACAATTAGTGCTGTAGAATGACCTAGACAAAATGAAATTTTAATCAATGTACCATACTTTGCAATTCTTCATCAGGGCAAAACCATATATTTGGGCATGTCAAATAATTAGAAAAAAAGTTGTTGATTACACCATACTCTCAGTTTTGTAGTGTTATATGCCAAAATCTATATAGTTTTCAACAATTGGCATAAGATGGTTATTGAAGACTATAGTAACAACTCTGAAAAAGTGCAGTGGCTTGTGGTAAGAAGGCCACAATGTGATGCGAGGTTCTGGTACTACAAGCTGTAAGCCACATTTTGATTGGAGGCAGCGAGCCATTTAGCTGGGTGAGTGAAACATGTAAGGGTATGCCAAAACCAATTGATTGATTTTCGGGGTTTAATGTCCCGAAATCACCATATGATTATGAAAGACGTCATAGTGGAGGACTTCGGAAATTTCGACCACCTGGTCTTTAACATGCGCCCAAATCTGAGCACACGGGCCTACAACATTTTCGCCTACATCGAAAATGCAGCCGCAGCAGCCGTGATTTGATTCTGCGACCTGCAGGTCAGCAGCCGAGTACCTTAGCCACTAGACCACTGCGGCGGGGCGATATGCCAAAACTAATATGCCAACAATGATGAGACACCTCTAAGAAAGATAGGTACACTTATTAAACCAAAGGCCAGCCTTTGTGAGACGATTATACCTCTTTAGACTACTTGTATATAATAATGTGCTTTCATCTGCAAGTCCCCACCTGCAAACGAGAAAAAATTACCACATCATTCCACTGAAGAATAGGTTTTGAATGGCCCTTTATTAGGTTTAGACTGTGCTATCGAATAAATGCAGCGCATAAACCAGTCAGCGGCAATCATGCCTGAAAAGTTTCACATGCCTGCGCAATGCGAAAACTCAAAAGTGAAAACAGAAAGCCAAGCACCCTCTCTCTAGAGGAATATTTGCTTATAGAGAAGGAGTGTCGATGTAAAATAATGAAAATCGTCTGGATTGGTTGGTTTGGAGTCATATTGCAAACAATGCAGAAACGCAAGGATGAAGAAAGATACAATGGGACAGGCCCTATCCCATAAGATGAGTGTGTCTATGTAGTGATGCTCTTCAGAACATTACCGAGACCTGCCAGAAAATTTTGTTTTTCATCCAATGCGGGTCTGCATTGCGCGATTCTTAAGCAAAACAGAAAAAGACGCTAAAATTGCCGCTTTTTACTCCTGTCTTAGTGCTTCTTTAGGTGATAGATGCTGATATAATGGAATGGAATGGATGGGAAGAAAAAAATAAGGATGTGGTACAGTGTACTAGAATACTTTCCAGTGGCCCGTCCGCATCGCGCTGCCCAACGCACGCGGTGTTGCCTGCTGCAGCGTCGCTGCTATCGACCACTCTTGAAAACTCGCCCCAACTCTCCTTGGCAGCGTATGTGGCACACGAGAATGTAATGCGTGTTGAATTACGCACCGCTGCTGTTTTAACACTATTGTAGCTGGGTTTTGAATTATTCTTTGCGTAATCTATAACCGCATTGGTATGTTAGGCTGTAATAATGATTTCACGTTCCTCAGCAAAGAAAAGCTGGTAGCAGTCGAAGGCTAGTTGATGCTCTGTATTTTTTTCCCCTTAGTGCAGCATTCATGCAATTTGGTTATTTCGTGAGTATTAAAATTTTCGAAGCAAATGTTATTCATGAAACCGAATATCTGAGTGATAATCGCGATAATGAAAAACGTATGCAATGTCAACCATAAGCGACAAGTGCACAAAACTTAGGCACGATAATTTTCAAAACCCATGATTTGCAATAAAAAAACAACTTCAAAAGCACTCTCACTGTCCCACTCGATTTTATTAGACGTGTTTTTCACTTGCACAAAAGTTTTTCGTGCACCTTCAATGCACAAACTAAACGATGTCGAAGCACAGCTAAGCTAGTCTACTTAGCTTGAGGTGTTACGTTGCCTTTCTCTTTGACAGCATGTTTGCCTTGTTCAAGCCTTTGATTAAAAAAAAAGAAGTCGAGTGGTGACATAAAATTTGACTATGCGAGGAGTGAGACTCTCGGCATGAGCACTGCATCCCACCTTCAAAGGAGCGGCACAATGAATCATGTGCAGGATGTCCATTATGCTCTCCCAGTGATCTTTTCGTGCATTAAAACAACTTGTGAAAATATCTTCAAGTCCTGACATAAAGCGGAAGACTTCGACTGATGGGTAGAGCGAACCACCTTGATCATTGCAGCGCACAAATTCTGCCGCATGCAAGCGGCGCCCTTCTGTTGGGAGAAGAAGGCTGTCATTAATGCAGAACACTTGATGGAAAGCACACACTTTCTCGCCACATATCCGAAAATGTAATAAGTCAGCCTTGAGTAGCTTCTCTGGATGTGGTACTCA